GAAAAACTTACGGCCAGAGCCTCTGTGTGGAGGACGGCGTTTGCAGAGTATTTTATTATCTGCGAGGATGTTCATGCAGTCCGGAGGCAGGCGGTTATTAAAGGAGTGGAGATCTGACAGGGAGTAGAGCGGCGGCATGATCCGGTGAAGTGGCACTAGCACGGGGCTAGCTAATGCTGGGGACCCGGGCAGCAGAGACCAGGAGCCGGGTGACCGTGGAAGAAGGAGTGGTGTGAGTCCAGGTAAAATCAGAAGGATAATCCACAGCATATCAGGAGAATAATTCCAGTGGTTTCCAGAGGAGAATCGTAGGAGGGGCTGACAGCCTGATGCAGAGTGGGAGCCGGGTGACCAGCATACTAATTTGTTAGCTAGCTTGATAGCAACCGGCTGTAGGCGGCAGGGAGCGACGATGTCAGCGGGGAAGTCGGCTGATCGCACCGGGATGGGAAGACCCACACGAGAGTTAGGGTGGAGTGACGGCTCGTCCACACAGCGGCTTTGGAAAAAGCTTGGAGCTGGGCGTGTCTGAAGCTTGGGGGGGGTTTATGCGAGCAACGCGGCCAACAACCAATCACATGAATCTCCCGCCCCCAACATACAGTTTACGAAGTATACTGGATATAAACTTCCCAAACAGGCGAATACCTACCAGTTTCACCCACTGTCTCTGCCACCTCCCTCCATGCCTGTTTCCTCCGGTTTACATCCCGGTAGGTGAACAGGGACTGGTCGTACAAAACCAGGTGATTCCCTACCGCTATAATAAATGTCTCTTCCATTTTTTGGAATATGAGGAAATTAACTGCGCTATGTCACTCCCAGCATACACGCGGTTTGATTGGCTAGTGCTTGTACTGGCAGATTTGCATAAACGGGATTTGATTGGCTGACGCTTCTGCCGAGGCTTCAAAAGTTGAACATTGCTCAATTTTTGCAGCCTGAAACGCCAGGAAAGCTCCGCTCTGCTTCCCACGATGCAGTTTGGCGAAAAGTGACGTCACCCCATTCAAAGTGACTGGGCAGAAGCGTTGGAAGAAGCGTCCAACACCGCTGTGTGGACGGGGTAAGTCTTACCTCATAGACACAGCTACGAGCAGCAGTTATTTTGCCCAAGAAGCTTTCTTTGTCCTCCATCATCCTGGACATGCGCTTCTTGTGCTCCAGAGCCTTCTCCCGCTCGACTTCCATGTTACTGATCTACAATAAGAAAAGACACAAATCTTATATTCTAGAAATTCACCTGGGTTCATTTAATTTATCAGATCTATGCACGTGTTTATTTTTATGTACATACCCTATCCTCCTCCTGGAGCTCCCATAGTTCCATGTCCTTGATTCGCTGCTCCTCATAAGCCTGTTTGATGAGAGGAATCTCCTCCAGACGTTTGGCCCTCTCAAAGTAGTCAATCTGGAGAGAAAGATAGATTAGTGTCCAGTTCTCACCTAAGTGACTGATGTTTTCACTGATGCCTCACTCAAGTTACCTTTTTCTCCTGGTTCTTCAGGCGCTCCTGGAGTTCCCTCTTCTCCTTCTCCAGCTGCTCCACCTGTTTGGCCATGATGAAGTCAGGGTCCAGCTCCTCGAGGTCCTGTACAGAACATATTTGTTAGTCTCAACTTTAGACCTAATATGACAGTGAACATGTATTGCAACATGGAGTTACATCTATATTACCTCAATATCAATATCCTTGAAGGCCTTGGCTCCAAGCTCGGTCTTCTTGATCTGCTCCAGCCGCTCACGGACTGTCTTCTTCTTGATCAGCTCGTGCTCTTGCATGATGCGCTCCTTCTCCCTCTCTTTGGCTTCCTGGCGCAGTCGCTCCTCCTCGGCCTTGCGAACCTTCTGCATCTCAGCTTCACGCAGCTCCAGCTCCTCCTTCTCACGCGCAATGTTCAGGCTCTCCAGGCGTTCCTTACGCTCTTCGATGGTCTGTCTGCGAGCCAGTATGCGCTGGTGATCCTTGCGTGCGTTTTTCAGATAGGCAGCCATTGCCAGCTGGCTCTGCTCCTCGCGCTCTTGCTGAGAAGGAGACATATTTAAATGCTGTTTAGTATAGAATTATTATCACATGAAGATACCTTTATTTGCAGGTAGGTAAAAAGCTAATATTGCTGTTTCTGTGTGCCTGTATATGAGAGTTCAGTAGGAAGGGAACTCACCAGGATGGAGGCAGGCTTGATAACCTGGACGGCCTTAGCCAGAGAAGAAGACATGGCAGTCAGCTGGTTCCTTATCTGCGCTGATGGCATGTTCTGCAGGAATGGACCAACAGGGGCGTCTTCTTTGGTCGAGTAGTTCAGGTCGGAGCCAAAGCTCAGATTTCGAGAGGTGTGGTCTATACGGACCTACAGGGAACAGCAAATATTTGATGAATTGTTAAAAACAGTCAAAATAAAAACACACTCAACTGTTATACAATTTGTACCGGTTGATCAGTAGTTTATGGATCTCTCCTTGGGTTGACCTTACCTGCAGATCACAGTGGCGGGCAGCATCCACAATGGAGCGCTCCAGCTGGAAGGCGTCCACAAAGGGAACCAGGGAGGCCAGGCGGGTGAACTCGATGCTTTGATAGATCTGTGCAACCTAATAAAACCAATGGAGACAAATGGAGGGATTCAGCTATTATATTCTAAGAAGGGATTAAGGAGAGCATTCCAGTGGAATGAAAAGAGCAGGGGTAGACATTAAGGGTAAAATGCCACTGGCCCTCCGGGCCGGTGGAATTGTATTATCACTGGCCCCACCATTGTAACCACTGGCCCGGAGCATTCGTCCAAAAAAAAATCGACTTATAATGAAAAACATTAACACATTTGTTGCAATAGTAATTTATGCACTAACTACATTACTACTTGTACTACAACATTTGAATCATCAGTTTTTCCTCATTTTCCTCAATTGTTCATATTTGGTTTATTACAATAATGATATTGTGGTCATTGTTAAAAAATGTCTGCTATTATTATGAGTCTTATTATTTGTATAATGCGCTTTCTGCCTTCCTTTCATTAGGAGTTAGACATGTAATGGCTATGTAATAGATTAGATTACAACCTTCATTATCCTAACCTGCTGGGACATTTCCCTATAGCCAATACCTTTATATTGTCTACTCTTCACTTACTTGTCAGCATAGGTCGGCATTGATGTACACAGAGCCGACATAAGACCTTGTTTATATTGGCATCATATAGAGTGGTGCAGTGACGCGTCCTAAAACCAGGAAGTAAGCTGCTGGTTCCCTCGACAAAAAGCAATGGGATTTCTCCAAAGGGTTTTGGAAAATAGCTGGAAATAAGGTCTGTGGAAAACAA